GTACCTGCAAACTGCCAATATGACCCCCCCCCCAAGAGAGTGTATAATACCATGCAGAACACTTATGCTGTATCTCAAGAAATGTGGTTTTTTCTAATCCCTATGTGATAAACTGCATGTACTTACAGGTAGAAATACATTGCTAGTCTATGAATCTGATCACCCTTGACATAAACAATTGAAGTTTATGTCAATGTATAAGGGACAAAATTTATGGTTACTTAACAGCACTTAGTTGCAAGCTGTTAACGAATCTAGCGGAATCCCCCTAGTTCAAGACAACAATCTCCAGACCCAAAACTGTGCATGCTCATTCATGGTAATATGTAAAAGAGAAAAATGCATTACCAAACTACTCTGCTAATACCTTTTGGATTAGGAGATTACATAGTTGCTTTCTAAATGTTCAGAAGTTTTTTATTACTTCTTTCTTTTACAAACAGAATGTCATACTCTTGTCAAAATGTTCTTTTAAAACCTTAAAAAAGTAATTATGTTTAATTACCTAGTTCATTCTAATTAACACCTCCTAAGCCTCTAATCAAGTTAAAAATATGTGAAGTTTAACTCTTCCTAGTGAAAGTACTCTAGGATTTCCTTTTAAGCTAGTTGAAGTACACTCGCTTCTTTTATTTCTTTGTTGAGAATTTAGGCCACAATCCTTACTCAATTAACCTGTGAGTAAACCCCATTTAATTCAGTTGGATGTGCCAGTATTTCTGAGTAGATATTGTTAGGATTTCAGCCTTAGCAACCTGGGGGGAAATCACAGATAGTGCCAACTATGTACAGGACTTAGCATTCTGACTAAGAACAGGAGACCCAATGGGGGGAAAAATGAGTCTACTGTAAGCATGACTAAGCCAGAATCCTGCCCATCATTTAAAAAACTAAGGCTGAGCCATATAACACATGAAATAATAAGACTGTTCCTTCCTTTCAGCAATCATTACCTGAGCAGTCCCCAAGCCCTCCCAATGAAGGATTTTAAAATTGTGAATGAATCCTTGTGGCTCTTTCTTTAATGGCAATTTAAACTATGGCTATTTGTGACTGATAATGCTTAGCTCCATGACACAAAACACTTCATCTGCTGATTTCTGCACATCCAAGGCGCAGGGGTACAATACACCCTCTCAAACTTTTTTGTCGTTACAAATTCCATTTGAAGCATTTTTTCACTTTCAGCACTCACTGCAATCAGATTCACAATTCTGTTCTTTGATATGCCATCCCCACCCCACTCCCTTGTCCATACTGTCTTCTCCAGCTTCAGCTGTTGAACACTGTGGCTTAGTCCAAGGAAATGTGGATATTATTGATGATGTCACAGACACTCATGGATTAGTGTGAATGGTAGCTTACACACACAAAAAGAGAGGGGGAGAGAAAGAGAGAAAGAGAGAAAGAGAGAGAGAGAGAGAGAGAGAGAGAGAGAGAGACCTATGTAAAGAGAAGGTGCAGGGTCCCTGATCTGGATCAAGACCACAAAATCAGTCTTCTAAATTCACTAGGTTCCAGGTGCATTTTAAACCACAGAGCCTAGGACTTGCCGATCAGAAGGTCGTGGTTCAAATCCCCACGGCGGGGTGAGCTCCCGTTGCTCGGTCCCTGCTCCTGCCAACCTAGCAGTTCGAAAGCACATCAAAGTGCAAGTAGATAACTAGGTACTGCTCCGGCAGGAAGGTAAACAGCGTTTCCGTGCGCTGCTCTGGTTCGCCAGAAGCGGCTTAGTCATGCTGGCCACATGACCTGGAAGCTGTACGCCGGCTCCCTCGGCCAATAAAGCGAGATGAGCGCCGCAACCCCAGAGTCAGTCACAACTGGACCTAATGGTCAGGGATCCCTTTACCTTTTATCGGCCACTTGCGGCCATGTGAAGATGCTCAGGGGCCAGGATAGCACCTGGTGTCTCTACCACCTGGAGGTTCATGCCTAGGGATCCTTGGATCTGGACTGTTTTCACACACTAGCAACACATCCATTATATTTCATCCACACAAACAGAATGAATTTCAGGAACCAAAAAGGCCCCAAAATGGCAATGAGGCATTCTGTTTTGGTGACTAAAATCCTGGTTTAAGGAGCCATTAGGAGCCTAGCTTATATATCTGAGTTTCTAACACAGCACAGAATGTGGTAATGGGTTAAAGCGCTCTAGCCCCATGCTAGGGGTCTGGTCTCGATCAGGGAGCCCATACTATTTCTGAAAGAAATATCATGCATTCAAGGCCAAACCACATGATTAACATATTGTGCAGTTTGGTCCTGATGCTGAGGACAGTTGAAGGCAAAAAAAAAGGGAACATGAAAATGGCACCAGAATAAGCACAGCATCAAAGCAAGGTGTATGATGAATCTATTTTGGCAAATTACTCGGCGGCCTCAAATGTGCTACTTGAAATCATGGGAAATACTCTCTGTATCCCTATAAAATACAAGCTATATTGTTAAGCTCTTATCGCATCTTTAATTATTAAGTTTCATGCATGCACACTGCTAGCATGAAAGTAGCCCAATCTGGGGGATGGGGATGGAAAGAGATTTGTTTTTCACATGGATTAATGAGCAATCCAGTGGTCTGACACAAATCCAGAAACTGATAATTTATAGACCTGCGAATTTGGACGCAGTTGGCAGCTTCCCATGGTGGTGTGGGAGCAGTGGTGGATTAAACGTTTAAATCCTCTTGTCAATGGAAATGCCTCTAATCTGCTAGGTGTTCCATTGAAAGCAGCAACCTAAAGATTAAATTGTTATCATCCTTGGACGTTCAGGGAAAACATGTTTACAGGGGAAATGCAAAGACGCACGGTTACTACTTTAAGCACAAGCCTTTTCTTGTGCACTAACCAATTCAGTATTGTGATTAATAATAATAAATGAGTGTTCCTGTGGTTTTATTTCATCAACAGGATTGAAACCAGTGACAATTCAATAACCAACTTGTCATGATGTATGCTGAAGCCAAGAATGCTATTGTGGGCTACGCTACATGGAAGAAAGGTGGGTTGGACATAAAGTGGGAAAGTATAGCAAACTTAGGTAAATTAACTCCATCCTTTCCATCCTGGAAAATGTCTTTGTTCCTGGGGGACAGTGATACCTTTTATGGATAGAAAACTCTTTGACATTTCTAAATTTCTCATTTCCCCATTCTTCAGTTCATCACATTTCTGCATTAGTTGGCAGTACAGTGGTACTTTGGTTTGCGAACAGTCTGGTTTGCATACGTTTTGGATTACAAACTTGTCAAACCCGGAAGTGTGTGTCCTGGTTTGTGAACTTTTTTGGATTACAACCCTTCCCCCCCCTTTTTTTTTTTTGGATTACAAACAAAAAAATTTTGGAGGCCCCATTAGCGAAAGCACACCTTGAGTTGCAACCTGTTTTGGTTTACCAACAGACCTCCGGAACGGATTATGGATGTAAACCAAGGTACCACTGTATATATCTGAATCTGTATCTGTATCTATAGAGTATGTGAATATAACAAAAAGAAAAAAGAAACACCATCAATAACAACAATCCATCTATTCTGACTTAAACATGCACCTGTTTATATGACAAATCCACATATGTCCAAGTAGTTCTCCAAATGTTCAAACGTATCTTTCAGACATCATTGGAAAAAAGATCTCGTGAAAATTCACCAGCATGTTTCTGCAAGCAATTTCCCCTAACATTCTACATGCTATTTTCATAATATATATATGTTTTGTGTATACTCCCCACCACCACCAATATGCACTTTTGCGGGGGGGGAGGCTGCATAACTGCATCACAAAATTTGGAACCTCAAAGGTTAGCTGCGTTTTGGTTTGTGTTATTTTTTCAAGGAGAGCAAATTAGGTAGGTTTGCATTAAAATGCGAATCAAACTGAATTTGTCTTTCCACACCCACCCTTAATTCCTGTCCCTCTTCTCCATTTCCTTAGATAATCCACCTTGAGAGGGCAGTTGTCGCCCCCACTACAATCTGTGCATGGGGAAGCCTACTTTCTGCATCTTTGTACGGCAATGCATCTGCTCAACTGGGGATTCCTTCGCACTGCTTCAGAGTGGGTGCAAGCTTTTTGCCTGTTTTGCCAAAGCTAATCTCAGAAAGCAAAACATCTGTTCTATTTTCTGCTACTGTACCCTAAACAAACAACCCTTACAGTTAAGATATAGTTTCATGTGTTTCCAACAGCTTGATTGCCCGATGTGCTGTAATTGCCCAGGTCATGCTATCTAGTTTAAAGTTAGATGTGATTAGAAGCTGGTGGGAGGTTCGAGTTTATCCATAGTAATTAACACTGATGCGATTCTCTCCTTCCTCACCAACTGAGTGAATCAAATTGGTAGAGCCGGATTATTTCTGATGGGGCAAAAGGACTTGTTAATCAGGCCTTCCTGGACCTCCCTTTCATTTCTTTCACAAGTTCTGTCCTTGATTTTCCCTTCTAATGGGCATGGTGGAATAGAATAACTCAAGCCAATCTAGAAAAATAACCTCCTCCTCTTCTTCCTGAACCTCAGAATCTCAGAACTGTCTGAGTCAGATTACAGCATCTCCTTAACCTCTCTCCCTCTTCCTTGACCCAACTACTTACTGGTTGTGTTTTGTTTTGTTCTTTTTTAAAAACTTTTTTGGGGGGAGGTTGCCCACTGGCTCCGCCCACCTCCTCCTATATGTAAGCCTCTTGAAATATACTCGGAGTTGAGAGTGGATTTCATGCTCTTTATTCAGCTCATAGTGGTGAGGAGGAAGTTCCCCCAGAATGTCTGCTTTATATACATTATTTACACAATGGGCCCCACGTGATTGGCTAATTCTGAGATTCTCCTGTAGGCCAATCAGGTTGCGGATTCACTTCCACCTGGAGCTGGATTGGGTGGCTCCTGTGGACCAAACAGAATACTGCATTCTGGGTCCTATTGTTCTAGGACCAATCAGACTGCTGCATTTTGGATCCTATTCAACTCAGTACGCAACACTTCTCTAGCACTCTTTTTGAACCTAGGATAACTCAGTCGGTAGAGAATACTCTTAATGAAGACTCTTAATCTCAGGGTTGTGGGTTCAAGCCCCGTATTGGGGAAAAGATTCCTGCATGTCAGGGGGTTTGACTAGATGAGTGTTTTTCAACTGGGGGGGGCATATGGCCCCCTGGGACCCCCCCCCCAGTATATTCCAAGGGGGCCACAAGTAAAATTATATAATTTATATAATTATAAAAATAATAAATAAAACATGTTCTGTTTACAAACAAAATAGCTACCTTTCTACCAGTAGGGCAGGGGTGGGGCTACAGGAAGGAAACAAGGTCGGAAGGGGCCACGGTCAGGGGAAAGGTTGAGAAACACTGGACCTGACTCCTGTGGTCCCTTCCAACTCTTAGATCCTTGCAGTCTAAGCTGTGCTTTCCTCCTGCTTTCCTTTGCCTGGGAAAAGGATCCTGTTTTCCTTTCAGCTGTCTGTTTGGAAGCCTGCAGATAACCTATTTTCCAGCTGTTTCTTGGGGAGAAGGGAGACGACATCATTTTATTCTCTTCTTAATTATGCTGTCTAAAAAGTGCATGTTATATTTGACTTCATTTAGTAAAGCTTGCTTTTGAAATAGTTAAGGGTTGGGGGGGGGTTGGTTACTTTTGCTGTGCTAAATGCACATTCTGTAGTTGACCTTTGTAATGTTTTATTTTGAAATCTTCTTTAAGATAATGTTTTAGTTTTCTGTTAATTGTGTTGCTTTGAATGAATACTTTGTATCTGACTTGCTTCTGTTTTATTCTGGATTGTATTATTTGATGTTTTAATGCGCTGCAAACTGCTTGGCCGGTTTTTCCCCTTAAAAATACGAAGCTGTATAAAAACGAAATGACTAATAATGATCAAACAGCAATGTATCACAGTGGCCAGCAGTTTCTTAAAAAGGCTTCTTATTGATAGTTTCTTAAAAGGGCACTGGCTGCTGCACCTTGGAAGTGTTTTGGATGGTTGTCTGCAAGGAAAACTCACAGCATACAAACTCCTGTTAGAAACGTGCCCCCAACTCTCAGGTCCACTGCCCTACAAACAAGTAATGTGTGAATAAGGCTCCAGATTGTGATTCTGCACTAATTTCAGCCTCCGGGCAACCACACATAATAGTACATGCAGTTGTGCCTTGGTTCTCAAATGCCTTGTGACTCGTACGTTTTTGCACCCGAACGCCGCAAACCTGGAAGTGAGTGTTCTGGTTTGCGGACATTTTTTGGAAGCAGAACATCTGGCGTGGCTTCTGCAGCTTGTGATTGAGTGCAGGAAGCTGAGTGCAGCCAATCAGAAACCGTGCCTTGGTTTTCAAATGTTTTCAGAAGTCGAACAGACTTCCAGAATGGATTCTGTTCGAGAACCAAGGTACGGTTGTATAATAATGTGTATATTATTTATTTAATCCATTTACAGGCTCCTTACTTTCCACAGCTCTCTGGGAGGTTAACAATAAAGAAAATCAGAACATACAATCCAAACACATAGATATACAATAAGCACTATTTCAGAAAATTTATCTCAATAAAAATCCAAAAACATAAATACACAGTATCATTCACTACAGCCATTCTCATACGGTATCTCTGCCAACCACGCACACCAAAACAGCTCACACTGAATGCTATAAACCCACATACACTTACCAAACATTTGCATCATTCTTACTAAGAATCACTGCCAAGCATACAATAATAACAGACTCTACACATCTCTGCGACACTAATGGGGTCATGCCCCACACTGAATCCTCAAATACTCCCTTCCCAATCCTCACATGGCAGAGACCCAGTTCTATACCAGTGCAGGCCCTAACCTATGGGAGGTGGGGTATAAAACTACCATATTTTTCACTCTATAGGACGCACTTTTTCCCCCCTCCAAAAATTAAGGGGAAATGTGTGTGCGTCCATTGGAGCGAATGCAGGCTCTTTGGCTTCAGCGATAGCAACGCAAAGCCTCCGAAGCGCAGAGGGGTGCTCCCTCTGCTCTCCGGAGGCTTTGTGTTGCTTTCGCTGAAGCCAGGAGAGTCTGGTCTTTGAGGCTGGCGGTGGGGGGAATGCAGCGCTTCCCCCCCCACCAGCCCCACAAGCTCGGGGGGCAGCGGGAAGACAGCGCACCGCCTTTGCGCTGCTCCCCGACCTCTTTGAGGCTTTTCCCCGAGGAGGGAGAAGGGACTGACTGGCCGCGTCAGTCCTTTCTCCCTCCTGGTCGAAAAGCCCGCAGGAGCTGTGCGCTCCTTAAAGGGTGCGTGGCTCCTGTGGGCTTTTGCGGGAGATGGGGGAATTCCCCCACCTCCCGCAAAAGCAGGGAGAAGGTCTGGGAGAAGCACACAGGCTGCGTGCAGCCTGTCCGCTGCTCCCAGAGCTGGGGGGGGGGGGCGAATCATATTTTTTTCCTTGATTTCCCCTTCTGAAAACTAGGTGCACCCTATGGTCAGGTGCACCCTATGGAGCGAAAAATATGGTATATCCCCCTGAGCAACATAACATACCCCATATAATTCATAAAGTATGCAAGAATTGTTCTTATTTTTAGTGGAACCAAGGCGGGGTGGAAATCAAGTTCAAGGAGTAAGACAGGGATGAGAAAAATCAGTGTGGCTAAAACTCAACATAGGGATTTTCATGAAAATTTATTCCATACTTAGAAGCGCTCTGCAATTAACCTATGGGTCCTTCCCCCTTGATAAATTACAAGTTTCAAATCAAATTGTGTGTGAGGGTGGGTGTACGTGCCCATCCGTCTACCTATTGCTATGCAAAGAGGAATAAGAATGAAAATGGAATACAGAAATACAAAGGCAGATTGTGGAACTGTGTTACATGTAAATACATGATGTACATTAGCACCTATCTGAAAATGACTGGGCCCTGTTAGAAAGTGTCGCTGCTATTGAGATTAGAGTTAATTGGTTTCATAGGTGAAATCCCATTAGATTTAGCAAATTTTCAGCTCCGAATTAGTTCTTATTTTCTTGATGATTTTTTTAAAGCCTTTTCATCTTTCATTATGACAAGTTACCATACTCTAAACAATGTATTCATATCACTTCAAATCTTGCTAATATTTACCTGGGTTATATGAATCCTGAGTGGAAAACAAAAAACCAGATAAAAAGCCATATGGTCTTTTGTTGGCCTCTATTTGTTTTAAAGCCAAAACCACATCTCAATAATAATTCAGCTGTGGCTTGTAAAGTCACACACAAAAACACACACCACACTATGAGCAAGAATCCTGGACCTCACGCCAAGAGTTATGGACAACCTACCTCAGGTAAATTCACCTGTAGCTCAGCAGCTATGTACATATCTATGACAATGCATCAATCCTATTATACTGTGCTTTTCTACTCTTATATGATATCCTATCATTGAAAACTATATTAGCACATAGTGCTGTTGATTACTGCACTCAAATGAATATCAATTAAGCTATAAATTCAACAGTTTTATGAATATTCTATTGAAGTTAGGTTGCTCTGTTTATAAGATTATGAACGATAAACGATACCTACATTAGAAGGGGACCTCTAGTGAGGGACACATTGTGCTCCTTCTGGGGCAGTTTGTCCACCTTTGGTACGCACTCTGCACTCAGCTCTCACCTGTGGCTCCTAGAAGCTGTCAGCATGTGACAGTGGCCACACTCCAGGAAATGGCTTTGACTGGCCAGCAAAACCAGGTGAGGGTAGCTGATGGGTCTCAAACCATTGACAAGTTAGGGAATTCCCCTGCATGTGAAGACAGGATTGAGCAGACGGGACTGATAGTGGGTTCAACAGTCAAGAAGGTGGTTTCTGCACATGCTGTAGAGAGAAGTGAGGGGCACGACCTGCAGGACTGGATTCTGAAATCTGCTGCACGGTCTGCTCCTTGGTAGTTCAGGGAGTTTTCTTTGGAACCTGAGTCCATCAGGTACCCATTTGCTCCCATAAGACTGTCCTGAACAATTTGGTGTCATCAGCAAACTACCACCTCACTGTTCACCCCTAACTCTAGTTCATTTAAAAGGCACTGGTCCTTGGGAGAATGCACTTCTTACATCCTTCTATTGTAGGACTGGCCAACATTTTGGAACTGGGGCCATATCTACAAACCAGAGAAACTGTTTTGGGCACCACAACTCACCCCTTCCGAGGAGTAACCCCCACCCCCAAAATTGACCCAAGTTGTGAGTATAGGCTTGGAAAAAAGCCTTCTGTTGGCTAAACAAGGGCTTTTTTGAAGTCTAATTTCAGGAGGAAGGGGAATGGGGTCCTGTAGGCACCAGGGAAGGCCTCTGCAGGAACATGCGCTCCATTATAATCTTCGGGTCATAGGTTCAAGCCCCACATTGGGCAAAGGATTCCTGTTTTGCAAGGGGTTGGATTAGATGACCCTCATGGTCCCCTCTATGATTCTGTGGTTATGAAAACTGCCTATTTATTCCAATTCTCTGCTTCCTGGTCTTTAACCAATTACCATTCCACAATGAGGACCTCCCCAGAGTGCTTAACTGTTGTGAGATCTGCACTGACCAAATAGTTGGGACTGAAGCATTGACATTACTGTACAGGTCTAGTAATCCTTCTGTCAATTTCAGCAGTTCCACTATCTTTTCATGACCAGTAACATCTCATTCTGAGGTCATAATTTCTTTACTCAGTTCACCCTCTGCATCACTTATTCTTATCCTTTCTCCTGAAAGTTCATGTATTAATTCTTTGTATAGGTAAAAGTGAAAGCAAACAAGCTTGTTTTCTGTAGTGGGGGTCATGCTGGGTGGTTGTAAAAACTACCTTGATGCTGCTTGCTTTAATGAGATGTAAAATTGAAGCCACTCTACGCGGGTTTCCAAAATGCAATGATAGTGTGACACCAAAACCTAGAAGCAGCTTTGCATAACAGGAGGTCAGAGTAGCTCAGAGCAATACAGTGTTCTCTCATGTTTCTTAGCTTTTCCCTATTAATCTCTCACTGATACATATTGAGGAACATATTTGGATATTTGAGAAATTTTAGTCTCAATCTTGTATTCAGATTTCATTGACGTACGTACCAAAGCAGTATTTTTAAAGGTACTTAT